TTCCCGGTGTTTATCACTGCCGCCATCTTAGTTTCCAAGATAAACTTTATTTCACCCAAAAACAGAATGATGAAGTGGCATTCTTCTCTATTGACATTCTATCCCATCTTCTTGTCCTTCCATTCAGGGCTGCTGACAGGTTGCTGGGGCTATTGTGCCAGGCATGGAGATTATGCCCACTGGTCAAGAGGCCACACTCTCAGATGTTGGCTCTGCCCTTGCCTCCCAAGGTCGACCCCTGTACACGCAATTTCTAAGTTGCTCCTGTAAGTATAGTAAAATTCTGTTAATATGATGTTATCATTCAACAAGAGAAGACTGAAGCAACCAGTTGTCAAGATGAGACTTGTTCCTGACATCATTGGTTCTTTATTGAAAAGTACAGATAATGTTTGAAATGGAATAAAAACTCAGAGGCTCAAATGCATCCAATAACTTGAAGTAACAGTGGCACATGCCTCCAATAGTGACTGTAGCTATTTAAAGCCCTGTCTTGTTTCACTAGTCAGAACACAGCAAGGATTATGAAATGTGTGCTTCCCTCACATTAGAAGCAATTAAAGACAATCATATTGTTCTTTTTTGGTAAAAATCAGCACTCTTCACAAAGATGAATCAATGATAAAATGTGGCTGGAGAGGCATTTCCTCATAAAAATTTCTGAATAAATTTTGCATCACATCTTATGATATTCCCTTGTCAAGTATTAAAAAAAAGATTTCTTTCTATGTCACTACTCCTGCTTTCCATTGTTATCATTAAACTCAGAGCTGCTGAAAACTGAGGATTGCTCATTCTAGCCTCAGCAACAAATACACAAACAGAACACTCCTATTTCAAAGCCTTGTTGCAAAGAGTAGTTGATGAGTAAATAGAAATTACTGACTTCTGAGAAACACTCTGACTCAGAAAGAGAATTATCAGAATAGATTTGTGAAGTGGGAGTAACTATCTACACCAATTAAAGAGAAACATGCAAATTGGTGTCACTCCGGTACACCACAAGCCATGCCCACCAGCCAATAAGGAGTCAGTATGCAAATTAACCCAACCAAGTTGGCAGTGGCCATGGAGCTGGAGCAAGCAGGAGGCTTGGGTTGCCCCTGGTGATGGAGGAAGTCAAGCTTCCTGCTTGCCCTGGCCAGCCCTGGCCTCTGCTCAAGGCTACAAAGTTTCAATTATTCTATCTAATAAAGAATAGCTAACTGATCCTCTTGCTATGGTAAAGATGGCAGCACCCACAGCCAATAAAGAGGGAATATGCTAATTGACTGCCATGCTCTCAAAGATGGCGGTGCCCACAGACACAAGATGGTGGCGCCCAGTCATCTCAGCCCACCAGGGTGGCAGGTGTGCAGCAAGGCCGGGCTTGCCCCCAGGTGGGTCTGGCCTTGTTGCTCACCTGCCTCCAGAGAACCCCAGTCCCCTAAACTCTCCAGCTTCCCAGAGCTGGCCCGAGGCACAGGCAAGCCTCAAATGGCAGCTGCCTAGCCACCCAGGGCTGCCCGAGGCTTGGGTAACCAGAGCCAGTCGAGGTTTGCACTTCTGGCAATGACAGCAGCAGAGGTGTGATGGGGTATCACCTTCTCCTGATTTCCAAGTCGCCTCCCACCCCTGAGGGCTCCTGGACTGTGAGATGGGGTAAGCCATGCTAAAAGACCCCCTCTCCAGTGCATGAATTTTCATGCACCAGGCCTCTAGTAGAAGATAAATAAATCCCAGATACCTGCTTCCCTTTGCTCAAGGAGGCACTGAAAAAAAAGAAAAAAGAAAAAAAAGAGGGACTGGGAGCTTGGGTCGTGTGCCCAGCCTGCAAACACCCCTCAGCCCCTCACCCAGGCTGGCCAGGCACCACAGTGGTGACCCCCACCCTGAAGAGGCTGTGGCCAGCCTGCAAACAGCCATCAGCCCCTCACCCAGGCTGGCGAGGCACACCAGTGGGGACCCTCACCCCATGGGGGCGTGGCTGGCCTTGCAAACTGCTCCAGACCCTCGCACAGGCTGGCACCATGCCCAGTGGGGACTCCCACACCAATGGGGGCATAACTGGCCTGCAAACCACCACAGGCCCCCTTCCCAGGCTTAC